ACCATTTTATCAATCAATTTGATCTTTTGTACCTTCACTTTTCTTTTAATTTCCTTGTTTTCCTTATCTCCTTTCTGTTCTATTTGAAGGAACTTATTTTCTTCCTGATAATTTTGAATGTTATCTATTATGCTGTGAGTAATTTAAATATTGTAGACAAGCATGTTATCAGCCTACAGTTTCCTGGTATTACCCCTTTCATTGGGTCTTTTTGAATCAGATAAGTTTTGCCAGTTGCTGATGTCCCCTAGGATGGGAAATAATAAAAAAAAAGTGGGGGCTTCAACAGATATTATTATAAGTTTTCTAGCTTCAGAAGACAGGAAAGCAAGATGTTTATTCAGACCTATGTACTTCATTTACTATTATCCTGTTACTTATGACTTTGTAAGGAATAAGTATTTTTCTTTTCTTTTTCTCCATATTAATATCCTGTTAGCAAAAAGGAATGTTAAACATTGTTTTGAATTTTCTGTGTCACTTCTCCATATGCAATTGTTTAATTTGGGAATAAGACCAAGCAAAAGCACATTTTTACATATAAAGAAACAGCTATAATTGTATAATTCCTTCCATTATGATAGAGATAGAAACTTCAGTCTTTGTGAGAAATGAATTCTTTGTGAGAAATGAATTCTGTTATAGTGTGCATCATGCTAATTGTTTGCATATCCTATAAAATTGAAGTTTGTTCTCTCATTAGCTATGCTGTTACTGGAATGCAGTACTTTGCTTTTTTAAATTGCGTTACATTTTTAGCAATGCAGATTTGTACATGCAGTGGTAGGTGTATGGGTTGGCTTCATGGAAATTGATACGGGAGGATTCTTAAATCCAAACTGCAGGATACAGGGAGACCTTGACTTACAACCGGTCACTTAACAAACAGTTGAAGTTAAGACAGACTCAAAAATAGCTATTTACGATCTGTCCTGAAAGTTACAATTGGTGCACCATTTGGATAAGCTGGATTCAAACTTAATCACCATGATTTGCTTAATGACTGTAGTGACTCACTTAATGACCATGGGTTATAAAATCGAGTTCAGTCATGTGATGACTTGACTTACGACTGCAATGACTTATGATCAAAATTCTAGGCTCAATTGTAGTTATAAGTCAAGACCTGTAGTTATCTGTTGCAATAGGTTTGCTAAAATTTTGTCTCTCAATTTTCCAGGGAGAGGAACAGCGACTTTTGATGGAACTGCTATTGCTAGTGCGGTTGTCAAAGAACTTTCAGAGAATATTAAGTGTCGTACAATGTTTTCAACGCATTATCATTCTTTAGTAGAAGATTATTCTCACAGTCTCTCTGTACAATTGGGACACATGGTATGTAATATTCTGTGCTTGTAATGGTAGTTTCAGCATTTTTATTAAACATATGAAATGTTTAAGAATGTTCTTTGTTGAAACAGATTACTACTAAATGAAAACCATCCTTGTTTCCAAGAATAGATTAAGAACTAAAATTAGAAAATATGTAAAATTGTTTTCCCTTCATTTCCTAAATAGTGGTAAATTTCTGATCTTTATCGTTAGTTAATTTGCACCAGTGGTATTTAAACATTTGTGAATCCTTTTGAATTTTTAATATTTGTGCAGAAATAAGACCTAAAATACAAACTGTTCTCCACACAAGTCCTAAAACTAAATAGAGAACCCAGTTAAACAAATGAGTTAAAAACATATTTATTCATTTATTTATTGAGGGAAGTGATCCAAAGCAACATGTTTCTGTATGGCAAAAGTATGTAAACCTGTAGGATTATCAGTTCATTTGAAGGAGAAATTAAGAGCCAGGTGTTTTGGTCAGTTTGAGGTGAGTATTGCAGGTGCTGTGTTATTTAAAGAACAGAAATCTGGGTGAATCAAAATCAGATCTTCACAACACAGCTAGGTGGAAGTGTATCATGATTCAAACAAAGGACATTCCTAAGTACCTCCAAAAAAAACAGCGGTTGATGCTCACCAGGCTGGAAAAGTTTACCAAACTATTTTTAAAGAGTTTGGACTCCACCAGTCCACTCTTAAGCAGATCATGTATAAATAGAGGCAGTTCAACATCACTGTTATCCACCCAAGAGAGGCCAACCAAGAACACACCAAGAATAAGGCATGTGTCATTCAGGAGGCCTCAAGCCCAGGTAACCTATGGAACTAAAAACGTTCTCTTGCTTCAGCAAATATCCGTATTCATGACATTATGATCACAAGAACACTGGACAATGCTGTGCATTGCAAGAAGGCCACTACTCCAAATAGAGCATTGTTGCCCATTTACTGTTTGTGAAAGATTCCATGGATAAACCACTATTGGAAAAATGGGCTGTGAATGGGTGAAACCAAAATGTGGCTTGAATAAAAAGTGGTTTGTTGAAAGGCAAAACGGAGAACCTTATCCCATCTATAGAACAATATCACAGTCTGGGCCTGCTTTGCTGCCTATGGCCCAGGATGGTTTGTCATCATTTATAAAATTGTTAATTTTTGAATTGTACCAGCAAATTCTGCAGGAAAAAAAACAAGGTTTCTGAACTCAAGAGAATATGTCATGCAGTAAGGCAGTGACCTAAACGACAAGTTGTAGAAAGAAGCAGAAGTTTTGGGATGGCCAAGTTAGCATCTTCACTTTAATCCTATAGAAAAGCTGTGGAAGGACCTAAAACAGAAGACTCCCACTAATCTCCCTCAGTTGAAGCTATTCTATAAGGAGGATTGTGCTAAAATTCCTCCAAGCTGATGTGCAAGACTAATCAGAATTGTTTCATTATATTTGTTGCTGCCCAAAGCAGGGACACGTTACTGAAAGCAAAAGTTCACATATTTTTGTACGCAAATATGTAAATATGGAGATTTTCAGTCATCTAGATCATTGCTGGCTGTGGAATTCTGGGAGTTGAAGTCCACATGCCTTAAAATTGTCAAGGTTGAGAAACACTGATCTAGATCATGGTTGTGCCAAAGGTGCTTTTTCAAAAGGTAACTGGACTTTGTTTCTTCAGTTCTGAAGACGCTTCTTGTATGAGAACTGAAACACCTTAAAGGAACAACAAAGTCCAGTTGCCTTTTGAAAAAGCACCTTTTGAGACACAAATATGTAGTTTTGGATCATTTTCCTCAATAAATAAATGAACAATGTTTTGACATTTAATTAAACAAGATCCAATCTAGTTTTAGGACATGTGTACAGAACAGATCATGTTTTAGACATTTACGCAGAAATATTGAAAATTCAAAATTCACAAACTTTTAAGCACCACTGTGAAATATGTACTGATTTAAAAGGATGCAAAATACATTGTTTGAAACATATTAAGTGACAAGATATATTCCAATGTTGAAATGATCCCAGATCTAGCTTGAAAAACTTCTAGGGACAAAATGACTTTTCAGAGTGATTGGTTTCTTTTTCTCCTTTTCTTTCATTCTTGAAATATGTATGGTTTGTCTTTATGGGTTGTACTAATCATTTATATTTATCAGGAGAAATGAAATGTCTATGTTGAGGTTCATTAGAGAATTAAATGTTTCTATGTAGGGCAGTATTTTCAAACCTTGGCAATTGCTGGATGTGTGGATTTCAATTCCTAGAACTCCCCAGCCATTGTGATTGTCAGCCATTCCTTCTAGTTCTTGCACATTTGGAATTTTTATTTTTTTTTTAAATATTGGGTTGCCTATCTTGAGCAACTACATTGCTATAATAGAAGTGTTTAAAAAAAAGCCTAAATTGCTAATGTCTTATTCTTTCCAGGCTTGTATGGTAGAAAATGAGTGTGAAGATCCTAGTCAAGAAACCATCACATTCCTTTATAAATTTGTTAATGGGGCTTGCCCTAAAAGTTACGGATTTAATGCTGCAAGACTTGCTGACATTCCAGAAGAAGTGATTCAGAAAGGTCACAAAAAGGCAAAAGAGTTTGAAAAAGCTATTCTTTCAATGAAAGTATTTAGGTAAGTTCATCACTTTTCAATTCAACTAAACTTTTTTATAGAATAGTAGTCACAAATATTCCTTAAAGTACCTGTGCAATTCAAGGGAAGGTTTAAAACAAATGATGGGGGAGAGGTGTTGACAGGGAATGTGAGGGGAGGTAACCCTAGTTTAATCTCCAATCATTGGCTAGAATTACAGAGTTGTAATTCATAAGTAGAGGACCCATTTCTCAACTAGTTTTAATATTGTCAAAGCTGTGTTAAGGCTTCAATGGGATGAGTGGAAAAATGCATACACCATCTGGATCAGTAAATCCAAAGCTACACGTTTTCTGCTTATTAAAATGGATTGAGGATTGAGTAGTTGTGCTGGAATAATTGCATGTTTGATTTTGCAGGAATCTTTGTTGGATAGCTGAAGGAGCATTAGCAGCCAGAGATTATCTTGACAAACAAACTCTGCTTCATGTTTGAGACCCTATATAGTTTTTCCAGCAGTTTTCAAAGGCAGTATGTAGACAACGCGATGATCTAATAAACTTTATTTTTTAAAAATGACCATTTTCCATTGTCTTTCCTAGGAAATTAAACCCTTTTAATTCTTAGCTACCCTCTACATAATGATTATTGAATACTCCACAATATATTAAGTCTAGATGTTATGGTACATGCATACACTTTCAGGCTGTTGATTACCCACTGTCACCAATACACATAAATGGAAAAAAGCTATGAAACTGTATAGGGCGTCTATATACTTTTTCTCATCTTCATTGGAGCAGGAAATTACAATTGTCAGCAGTTCATAAGAGTAATGTCTAGACTGTTCAATAAAACTGTGAACAGAGTAAAATACAGGATTGTTTTAGGGAGATTCTTACAGTGTACTTTAAAACACAGTAAAACCTCCTCTTGCAAACTGTCACCTGTGTATTTTGTTTTATAGTGCATTATCTCCCAAGAAGTCTCATTAAAACATTGTTTTGTGAGGCGATGTAAATCATGAGGATTGGAAAAAAGGGAAGGGGAGATTCTAACTGCAAAGGATACCAGAAAAATTGCTGGATATAATTTAAGATTAGTGTTCTCTTTCATAGAAAGAACATACATACTGGGACATGAGTACAGTTACAGCAAGTCTAGGTGTGCTAACAAAACAGGACACATTCAAGTACAATAAAGATTTGCTTGAAATTAAAAACTACATGAGATTAAAGCATTAAAATCATCTCAATCTGAATAAATGTTAAAAAACCAAAATAAATGCGGAAGTGCTAGCTCACATTTTTACCATATTACAAAAAGCAATTGGTACCCATGTCCATAAAGGCAGCAACAAAGACTGCTGCTCGTCTATAGAATAGGACTACTGCAAATGGGACTGCGTTTCAATGCTACTTGTAGAAACACCAGCCTTTTGGAAGTTGCCATCTGTACAAATACGCGGCTTACTTTCTTCACACCTGTCCCTTAGTCTTTACACAGTAATGCTGAAACGCCCAGTTCTGTTATCCTGAGTCAACATATTGCCACTTTCTTTTTGGTAGGTTGAGCTCCATAGTGTCACCATTTATTATCCATTTTAAAGTCTCTGCAGAATGGGCAAGTATAACTTCCTCAAAAAAAAACAAAAAACAAAATAACAGTTACAATAGAATGGCAGGACTTTTTTTCCCCTCAAAAGTAACTCAATTGTGCTGCAGTGTATTAGATTCTATAGGAGGAGCAGAGTCATATAGTGTATCTGTATCATGTGTCGGTTCTCCAGCTAGTGTACAGGGATTGGACAGTGTTCCAGCACCACAGTCGCAAAAAAACCTGAAAGAGAGAAATCTTTTAAATATTTATTGAAAAAGTTCAACTTATATTTAATAGGCTTTCAGTCAAAGATTATGCAACATACCTATCGTGTCTAATAAATTCAACATCATGTCCTTGATGGCACTTCTTAATACAATTTACACATATAGCATTGCGATCTGTGGTATTACATGTATGACATCTACGACAAAATAAAGGAAAGAAATAATTAGGCTTTCCAAGTAAAATCCAAATCTACAGGACAGAAGGATATATCATATTTAGTTGCTTACCTGTAGAAATCATGCATCGGATAGCTGGTGTAACTTGATATTTTATATAGACACTGGCCTCTACTAACAGCTTTTTCAATGGCATCTTGATTGTTCATTATTTTATTATCTGTATTAAATGGCAGATTTCACAGTATTAGTTTACCATATTAATGTCTGATACACTAAAATCAATCTGAATTGGAAAACTTCAAGTATTCTATTTCTTAAAATATTCCTTCAGATTTAATTATAATTTCAAAGGAATTTAGTAATGCAAATCCTAATGCATTCATTATTTCTTAAATACAGCTATCCAAGAGCACCTCATTCTTTGTCAACAGTTTCCCCATCTGCCTTTGGCTTGAATAGTCTATCTTTATTTTTCTGAGGTCCTGAGAGTATTAAATATTAAATATGTGGTCCCCAATATTTGGGACTGGTCAAAACTAAAAAACTGGAGCCTAGACCCTTCACAACATAACTGCCTTCAGAGAAGTAATATTATGAAATTCTGAATTATCAGAATGCAATCAACTCCTGCGTACCTTCCTTTCTTTTCTTTTCCTTTTTTGAGACATGACTACAAATCAAAGAGCTGGAGCTGCCTATCCTTATTTTGCAAGAAAGTCTAGGGAAGCCAGACACATTCTTGAACATAAAAATAATACTAAAAGCTTTTGAGCAGAACTACCACCAAAGTTTTTAAGTGAAAAAGAGGCCAGAAAACCTGACAAGTGCCAGGGAAGCAAGAACAAGAAGACAGATATTATGCCTAAATAAGCAATGCAACCAAGTAGAGATTATCAACAAAATAACAAGGACAAGAGGTTAAGAATATAAGAAATCAAGAGAACCATTTATGCAAAGAAGGAAAAAGCCTACTCCAGAGAAATGTTCATGCAAATATATAGAAAAAGATTCTTAAAACTGATGATACATGTGAAAGTTCACAATCTAGCAATCAGGACATGAACTAGCTCTGAATAGAAGATTTTTCTTTACATCAAATTACCACAGTACTCATTACAAAAGTAAGTTCTACTGTGAGATACCTTTCCTTCAGTGGATGGCTGACTGGATTGTGCTTGTTAACAGTGAAAAAAGTTGATACATGTTCTAAATGTTAAGATGATTCCTTATTTTTAAACAGCCATGCTTATGAAAATAGATAATTGTTTACTGTGCAAAAGTAAAAATGTTCTAACAGTTTTGGTATGCTACAAATAAGCATAATTTACGTACCTTTCATTGTCACATTGACCCCAGAGGCTAGAAATAAACCTCCAAAACGATTATTGAAAATCTGATTGCCTTCTAAAGTTGCAGTTGCATGATTTGTTATTTCAATACCTTAGTTAAAAAGAAAAAATATTTTAATAAACACAGAACTTGTATTTTACCAGTTAAGTAATTTCCAAATGGCTTAAAAATAATGCCAACTAGGAAAAAGCACTCATTAGATGCACTCATGCTAAAACTGACTACAACTTTCAGAATTCAAGTATCAACATTTTGTATTAAACATTGGAGCACTGCTTTAGGAAACAGGTGGTTAGGTTCAATCCTATGAATACAAATGGGATGGGGCAGGGCAAGAAATGAGGTTTGGGATTATATAAAGGGCTTTTCAAATTTTCAAATGAAATTTTCCTAAAAACAGCAGCAACCCAAAGCATGGAATTACTGTACATTAATTTTTATTCAACATAAAACACTGTTATACATAAAGAACTTTTTAAAGTTAATTATGTCAGTAGCATTGCAGTTTTTACTTGGGAATTATACATGTTTACTATGTGCAGCCTGCCATTATCTTTGAGATGCTCTAGTATAACAGCCTGGTATGTTTATGTGCAAGTTTGTTCTTAAAGAGTAACATGACATCTTATGCCAAGACATTCAACAAAAGCAAAATGCTGCTTTAACTTTGGTAAATCTCAGTAATTATTGATTAAATACTGCATCCAGTTTTGGTCACCACGGTGTAAAACAGATGTTGAGACTCTAGAAAGAGTACAGAGAAGAGCAACAGAAGTTTAACGAAGAGAAGGACGAGGGGGGACATGATAGCAGTGTGTCAATATCTCAGGGGCTGCCACAAAGAAGAGGGAGTCAAGCTATTCTCCAAAGCACCTGAGGGCAGGACAAGAAGCAACGAATGGAAATTAATCAAGGAGAGAAGCAGCCTAGAATTAAGGAGAAATTTCCTAATAGTTGGAACAATCAGTGGAACAACCTGCCTCCAGAAGCTGTGAATGCTCCAACACTGGAAGTTTTTAAGAAGAGACTGGACAGCCATTTGTCTGAAATGGTATAGGGTTTCCTGCCTGAGCAGGGGGTTGGACTAGATGAACTCCAATGTCCCTTCCAACATTATTTTATTTTTATTATTATTATTATTATTATTATTATTATTATTATTATTATTATTATTATTATTATTATTATTATTATTATTATTATTATTATTATTATTATTATATTAATCATCGCACAGTCAGCCAGATGTTCAGACTGGATTTGGCATTTTTTCTACCTATCGAGTCCTTACCAAGGACCTGGGATAGGCAGATGTGGATGTTTGATGGTATTACAGATATCGTCGCAGGATGGAAGCAGTTCCTAGTAAGGCCGCCTTTTGCAATTGACTAATAGCGAATTTGTCTGTTGTTGTTATTATTATCATTATCATTATTATCATCATCATCATCGGCTAGTCTTTGAACATTCCCCAAAGGACATGTTTACACAGGGTAGTATAACTGGTAGTATGACGGGGGACTGAGCAGACAACTACATTTCATGAAAAATTACAGATCTTTTGATTTCAACATAAAGCAATTCAGCTCCTATTCACAATGGCAATGTTGGTTTGGGATGATGCCAGAAGAAACTACTTTTTTTCTAAACAAATTAACATAGCTACCACTAACATTTGGGAGAAAGTAACTGCAAATATCATGAAGAATGCTAAGCTGTTTGAAATATGTTGCTTTGGCTATGACACCTTCTAAAAAAAAGAAAAAACCACAACTGAACTTTTATATAATAGCAAAATTATTGTTTTTGAAATGTATTAAAATGTCAATGTGTGTCTCCCAGGATATATATTCAGTACTAGCAAGGCCCTGCCACCATTACTAAGCTGCTTAAATCTGCCACTCTTCTGTGCTAAAATCAATACAAATCAAACACAAACCTGCCGCAAATCCATCAAATATTCTATTTTTCCGTAACACAGGATGACTATTTGTGCTGATAAGAACTCCAGCTTGTGCATTCCTGAAGATATCATTTTCTTCAAGAAGGCCTAATACCAAAACAAGAACATTAATTTCAGTCAGACATTTACTCCTATAATATGCTAATATTAGTACAAATTTCCTTTTAATATTAATAAGCATTTTATGTTAAAAGCTAGCATAGCTGAATTCCTATGACCATTTAATAAAAAAAAAACTTAAATCAGAGACCTACATGAGCTAATGTTGCATATTGTTTTCTTCAATCAATTCCACAATCGTGCCCCCCCCCCCCCAAAAAAGGCTAAAATTACACCAGTGGAATTTTGAATAATGTACGCCAAACTATTTTGGATGGCTCACGAGAGCTAGTTCCATTTTTACAGTTAGTGGGAACGATTTTCTTAGCCAACCAAAACAATCAAATTAGGAGCTGTTTTTAAGTTGGTAGTTGCTTGGCCAAACCAGTAGAACCACAATATTTGAACTTATTTCTCTGGTGTAAATAAGAAATTTATTGTCATTCAAGGATAAAAAAGAACATATATTATCCATCTGTTATAAAGAATAGTTTAAAGGCAAATGGTAAGTTAACATCAATTCCATCTCCCAGAAATGCTATGGAAAGCAGTAATCAGCCAATCTGGGGCTAGCATTTTCAGTTCCATTCAAGTGAAGATTCTGAACACATTCTAGATATGGAATTCAATTTTTATTTTTATCAGAACCAGACTATTAGAAAATATAATACAAATAAAGATATGGTAAAAATAAGAAGATACTAACCTCTGCCTCCATTAAATATGCAGATTCCCCCATCTCTGCCATCGTGGATTTTGTTTCTTCTTAATGTAGGATTACTATCGGTCTTAATCCATACTCCAGCCATTGCATTGTCAAAAATTTCATTGTCTTCTATAAAACCAAGCCCTTTATAAGGTAAAAGCAAAATTTAAGACCTTGGCAATGTGGAAAAAGTTTGCATTTTTTAAAATTAAGCAAAGTAAAGTTGAACTTACCCGAATTATAAACAAGAATTCCACCATTCTGGCCTCCCCAAATCTTGTTGCGCCTAATTTTGGGGTTACTTCCAGTTCTGTGCATAAGCAAACATGTTACTCAAAATGTACTTATAATTTATTATTGATAAAATAAAATTCACTTGTAAGTGGAAGGGCACTGTTAGCAATGTTAACATTTTATTTACGTATGTCTGGTGAGTTTGGACCAAAACTAGGACGCTAATATCTCTTCTCACATCATCCTGGCACATATACAAATAATTTATTTGCATTTATCTCAATGCCAAATCTTGCATACTCTGAGATTGGCCTCTGAAGGAAATGTATTCAGATGGACATGGAATTTATTTATTTAGGGCAAACAGCATATGCATACATACTACTCACTTCATAGCATTATTTAGCATATTTAAACCTTATTTGTGCATATTGCTTGCTTTTTCTTGCACTTTCTCTATGTAGGGCTTTTTTTTTAATCTTTAAACAATTTTATGTCACAGAGAACAGGGTAATGCACTCTTTTCAGCCCAAGAGTTACTTCATTCCCCTTCCTCCAATGGTCCTATTCCAGATCACTGCCAAGAGCTATGGGGAAGTAGCTATCTTGGGGGAAGGAGTGTTGCAGAGGGGGGGGAATCTCCTCCCCTCAATAGGGTCTATGACAATATTGAAGAAATGGTGGAATAGAAATATTAAAGAAAAGATGCAAAAGGAGGGACAAAATGAAATGTGAAAGACAAAAATTAAAATACATTTTTAATTATTTTAAATAATTGAATTGTTAAATTGTCCTGCGGTGAGTGGTCCCGCAGGAAATTGGCCGTGGCGAGTTATCTCATTCCACTTCCAATAATCTTGCTGCAGCTCTTTTTAACTGCATGTTATCAAACAGCCATTGAACAAACTGACTCGGCTTGGGCAAGACATTGGGACAAGAGCACAGGCATGGGGCTAGGTTGAAGTTAGGGAATTGACTGGCAGCAGGTTTCTCCTCTATGTGGTTGGTAGTGGATATCATGGCACCACATATTAACTCAATTGCTTCTCATGCAAATATTATTAGTCAAGCTAATCTCACTTAGTAAAGTAAGCGAAGGGGATGCTTCCAGATAAAAGAATCTTATTTTGAAGTAAAGACTGAAAAGAAAATGGAAGCATTAAAGAACATAACCACATCCTCTCTGGATGAGCTTTGAATACTTATCATCTGACTACAAGCAGAATTCCTAAACAGAGTGATAAATTTCACTATTTTAAAAGGACTCAGATATGACTAGATTTAATTTGTTTTCTCTGTGACCCTCATGTTTTGTTATGTGTTTGCTTCCAAAAATATGGTTTTTCCCTCAATGGTAACAAAATTATAATTATATAATTATAATTATAGCATTCCCCCCCAATTTAAGGATTTATCACTTTCAATGTAGTTCCTCACTGTATCAAACTTATTTCTGAGAGATGCTAATTTGGAGAAAGGAACATTCTCAAGGAAGCCAAAGTGTGCTGATAAGATAAGCATGTTTCATGATAGACTATTCATATAGATACAAATCAGTTCATTCAAAGTCAACCACTTAAGTCCCAATTAAGCTTATGCTGAGTATAATTCTAGCCAATGAATGACAACTGTCCTTCCCCATTTGTAGTTGGATTATCATTTGAAAAATCACTCTTATTAAAGAGAAGAAAACAGCAAGATATACAAACAAACCCTGACAGACACAATCCCATGTGTGGATCATTTTAAAGGAAAAGGAAGAGAAGTCGCTGAATGAAAACAACAGATCTATATACTAAGCCTCTTTTAAGGAAGTACATAAAAGTATATTTTACCTGATTTGAACTCCTGAGTACATATGGTTATAGATATCATTGTCTTCTAATACTCCATGCCCATTGTCATAGAAATAAACACCAACCTAAAGCATAAACATAAAAAATAGTAAAACATTTGAAACTAGTGTTTCTGTAACTTACATAATAGTAAGCAACATACCTGTTTACCACTATGTATTCTATTTCTTCTTAAAACTGGAGTGCTTCCTGTTGTAACCCAGACTCCAGCCAAGGTATTACTGTAAACTTCATTTTCTTCAATCACACCTTGACCTTTTTCATGCTGAAACAAAACAAAAGTATGCAAATCAAGTTGAACCTGCAATCAATTTGGTCAATTCCTAGGGTTTTTTTCTGTTCAGGGTTACAAGCAAATGGGGAGAGGGATATCTACAAAGTGAGAAATGTGTTTTGTTCAAATCTGAAGCAAACATTTGGGGACCAAGAACTTTGGTTTCAGATAGGCCATGGTCTAACTCTAACCAAACCAAAATCGAGCATTTTGGGTTCCAGCATTTGGCTAAAACAAAAATCCAGGGCAGGTAAAGTGAGATTGATGCACCTCATCTCTCATTCCACCACTCCTTCGTGTGGCCTGCGTGCCAGGCTGCCTACTGATCCTCATAGCCCTCTTTTCCCTTAACTTCCTCCTTAGATGCCCCACTGATCCAACTTACCTGATTTTGTCAGAGCCTTCCTCTCCCTCACCTCACCTTAATGCTGCTGCTTCTTTATTTATTTTCCCCACACTACACCACCACTGCTTAAGTTAAACACATATTTTGGTCTGGCCACAATCACACAAAACTGCATGCTCTCATAACATGAAATATTATAATATCTGAGAATAGCACTCATTCTGCTTTCTCAATTGCCCAGAGTCAGTGGAACTTGAGTGCATAAAAATCAGATGGATGGATGGAGTGGGGGGGGAGGAGTTTCTTTTATAAATACTACTGTTAAATCAAACTACAGCTCACACTTTGTCAGCAGTCCAAGATGTATATAAGGATTGGAGCAAAGGAGGAGCACATGTTGACAGCAAACTCACCCCTCCTTTTCATGTACATTAGAACTCTTATAGGAATTCATGTTCATGATGTGTTTTTTTTTCTTTTCTTCTCCCAATTATCTACACAATTAATATTGAAAATAAAGCTAAATAATGAATCTTCCAATGTTTACTACAAAACTATGCTTACCACATATATACCACCATGTTGGCCATCGTGAATCTTATTGTGCCGAACAATAGGACAGCTGTTAGTTCGAATTTGTATTCCTGCTAATGCATTCCCTGTTGGAATAGGAAAAATGTAAGAAAAGGTGGCATATAGGTCACAAAGTATATTAAATGCAACTGAGCAAATATTTGTTTACCATAAATGTCATTTCCTTCAATAAGACCTCTTCCATCACCAAATATGTAGACTCCACCTTGATTTCCATTAAAAATTGCATTGCCCCTAAAGGTTTAAAACCAGAAAATAACTTTGTCAGGTATGAATTTTTTTAAACTAGGTCATCAAATTAATTCCAAATGCTTCAACCTGATCTCTCCTTCCTCTGCCCCTCCCCAAGAGTTTTTTGCAGTCTGCTGCTTAGGGGGAAGAGGGAGCGGCAAGGGACAGAGAAAGCAAGAGAACAGGGTATCATTGAGGAAAAAAACATTTTTAGCCCTGGACCCACCAATAGTTTCCTTTAGTTCCTCAACAATTCACATAATACAATATAGTCTTCAACACAATAAAAGATTACCTGTCTCTCAATTTACTTTTTAAATGTTATAATTGCAGGTATAATATGCTCTTAATCTGGAGAGCTTAGAATAAATACAAGGTTTCATATCCAGATAACTTCTGGGTCCTGCTTCAAATGCTAATTTAGAAGCTAGATTATTTTCAAATTACTAAAATAACCTACAGAAAATATTTTGCAATCCATCTAGGGTAAATAATAAAGATAGTACCTTATGGTTGGATCACTATTTGAAGTAATCCATACACCAGCAAAATTGTTTGCATAGATTTTATTTTCTATAAATTGTCCTCTTCCTTTTTCATGAACATAGATTCCTCCAGTTTGCCCATGGTGGATTTCACAACGAACTACAGTAGGATTTGCATATGCTTTCACTTCAAAACCAGCTATTCTATTTCTATGTATGTTGCAACTTTCAAAATAACCCTAAACACGAGACCGGGGGAGAGAAGAGGAAGGGGAGAGTGAATGTTGGGAGGCAAGGAGAAACAATAGGAAGAAATTATTTTCTGACCACCTACTTAACAGTTGTAATGAAACATGTCACTATACAAGAATATGTAATACTATTTATTTACAGTGCATTTTAGTCCCTGCAGTTTTCTTGCCAACATTTTGGGAAGTGGTTTGTTCTTGTCTTCTTCCTAGGTCCCAGTGAGAGGGATTGGCCCAGCTGGGTTTATGCCTAAGGCAAGCCTAGAATTCAGTTTCCCATTTTCTAGCTTGGTGCTTTAACCACTACACGGAGCTGGCTATTATTTATTTCTACGACATGAAAATAATGTTATTAAGAAAAACGTTATTGTATTCTTTCACATCATCTGTTGGACCCTTAACAGCAGTAGAATATATGAAGCCCATTTTTTCAACCCTAGATTATTTTCACAAGACGGATTTACATAGCAAAAATTATATATGATAGAGAGCTGTATAATCCTGGCCTACAAACTACATGCAGCTTTCAATCCGGTTTTTGCAACACTTAGAGCCTCTTTCCCAATTGTGCTGACTGAATTCCACAATACATTGCAGATTTTTTGATATGTTATTTTAATTTTTAAGTATTAAAGTTAATGTAGATGTATTATTAAGTTTAACTTTTGAAACAAAGGCCAACATTTTCTGCCTCTTCCAGAGAAGTCCTCATGTCATCACCATTCCTTGTGATCTCAGTCTAAAGGATAAGAAAAGCTCAATAGTGCACCAAAAAAGAAAAGAAAAGAAAAGTTTCTATTGTTAGTCTATGCATCCGAGTTTGTTTCAAAATACCTTTGGAGGATGCTAACAGTTTTGAACATGAAATTTTTAAAATGCAGGAAATCCATTCAAACAGAGAAGAACATATTTTGAAACAAATTTTTAAATATTAAATCATAACATCCAAACTTCCTCCAGATCTGTAATGAAGTATGGTTTTAATAAACTGACTTTTATCAGATTTTATTTTAGAGGAAAGTGTCAATGTAGCCTCTTGATTATTAATTTGGAATAAAAGGATTTTACATTGACTTTGGATTAAAATTAGATAAAATCACAGAATGACCTGTCAAGCCTGCTGTTCTTTTTCTGAAGGCAAACATTCTGTCTAGCAATAATATTTTAAAAGAAGTAGCATCAAAGCTTTGCAGTGACATACGGTTAGTAAATAAATATTGTTTCTGGCACTCAGGGAATATAATAAAGATAATTTATGCCAGAAATATGGAAGCTCAAGTCAGGTTCTTGGCAATAATGTCCAATGTTTGAAATGAAAGAACCAACATAGAAGCACATTTAAAACTAACTACCCATACTGGCAACCAAGAAACAGTTCCAAAAAGTGCTAAACTAACACAAATATTGTAAAAATGGCAACTTGTAACACATAACGTCTTGTGTTGTTGCAGCACCAAGAAGCAGAAATTCAAATACACCCCTATCAAAATACTAAATATTTCTGAATTGGAACTGTAGACAATTCCAATTCAGTACATGTTAAATATGATAGTTTCCCAGTTAGGTCAAGATGTAATTGTAAAAATAGCAAAACTCAGATACTGTGATATGGGATTTATGCAAACATCATCCCAACTGCGACTACATATCCAAATATAAAACGAAGAGAGAAAAAACTCATTCATTTCAAGCTTTCACTGTTTGCAGTTCCCACTTTATGTCTTGCTGGAATATAAAACAACAGTGCCTTTGTAACCAAGATTGGAAGGGGGGGAAAAGTAAAGAGAATTTGCAGTTATATTTTTAAGTTGAGACAATAGAAAAAAGCTGCCACATTAATATACAAGTATTACAGAGACAATTCTGAGCAATGATTGAAGGATTGAAAATAGCATTAGAAGAGTTTAAGTTTTTAAGTGGCAATTGATTGTGTCTCTTAAATACACAGAGAATAGGAGTTATGGAACATAAGGACATCTTGAAGGCAATTATTTCTCAAGGTTCTTGACTTCAATTTCCCTGTTAAACATACTATATACTTGTTCTATAGATGCAAGAGAATTCATTACTTTGGTAAGGAGACTAATGAACTAACAAAAACATCCTGAATGTTCACAAAAGCTTCACTTCCCAAGAGACATACATTCACATAAAAATCTGTCTGCAAAACACATCTATCTATATTTGCTTGTGTACTTATGCACATAGAGAAATATATATATATACATTACCATGCCATGGTCAAATGTGAAAACACCAACATCTCGCCCGTGATGAATGTGATTTCGTCTTATAATAGGGTTTCCGTGGTTTTTAACCCAAATCCCAGCTAATGCATTATTAGAAATCTCATTATCCTCATATATCCCCTAAAAGGTTGGAAAAGAATGGCTTTAGAATGAGTTAAAATACTTAAAAAAACAATAGAAGAGATAGCAAAAAAGAAAAATGCAAGAAGTGTTACCTGTGCATGATCTGTGATGTAGAGTCCAACATTTTCACAGTCACTTATGTTACAATGCTTGATAGTGGGACAAGCCCCTTGCCCACTAACACAAACTGCAGAACCAACTGAAAATGAAGTTTGTACATATAAAAAATGAAGTAAGTGTCTGACTTTCATAATATATGTGAAACAAATGCCACCAGTTGTTTTTGCAACTAGAATAACTTGAATAGTTATTGCAATTTATGTAATCTTGGCCTTTCAAAATACAATACTAAGCTAAGTAAATTACTTCTTACAGAAGACAAAGAGCAGTGTAGCAATCTATAGTACTAAATTAAGAATATACAAAATACTCTGCTCTAGAGCTCTGTGGAGTAAGAATACAACAAACCACCTCCTGTTCTGGAAGTCTACCAGACCACTCCCAGAACAGCTGGACTGGGATGAGCTGTAAGAAGCATAACATTTTCAACTACTCCTCAGAATGGAACTTTTGCATATCCCTACCATAAATTATCTGTTAAGGACACCTGGGAACAAGTGAACAAACATTTAAAAAGTAAAGCTCATTAGGTTGAAAGTTCATATTAACACATGAAATTCCATCACCTAGGAAAGCAGGTTCTATTACACACATACACACAATTTAGATATTATCTACAAATAATGTTTGCTATTTAATTATTTCTACAAAGAAATTACTTACCTGTACAAGTACTTCGAATAATACAATGATCTATTATTGGACTGCAGTTGACTGTAATCTCTAAGCAATGGTGCGCATTGTGGTGTTGTGCAGATTTGTCATCAGGGTTAAACTGAAATAACATACAATAAATCCCTTTACTAGCTATTCATTTCTTTCAGTGGAGTAGGTTCAAGACAAGTATTTGCCCATGTTTCTTCTTACCCTGATTGTCATATAACCAACATAAGCATCCTCTGATCCCTCCATGAAGACAAAGGTTGAATCTCTTGTGTTTTCAATAATAACTTTATCTGCTACTTTCCCAGGAGCTTTACAAAAATATAAAATTTGTAAATAAATTACTAGATGAAAATTACAAACCACAGTTTCTAGTTCCTTTAAAAAGTAATAACACAGGATCTGCCCTCATTTTTTTTTTCAAAATCAAACTTTATATTGAACAGTTCAGATGACAGTTTGGATTGTTTTAAGTATATTGAGACATTCAGTCCAGTAACTTTATTTTACAAAAATTCAAAAATTGTTTTTTCTCATATTTAAATCAGACATTAATTTTAGTTTTAATAGAAGAAACTATACCCTCAATCAAAGCTCAAATTACAAACAATGACTTTCATACAGTGGGCATGACAAGCAAAGAGAAAATCTTTGTGCTTATTTAAGAAAATACACAGACAAAAGAAAACCAGCAATGCAATGGATTAATACGACAACAAGAGTCATGGTTGTTATTCTAATAACAATCAGTCACCTAACTGAAGAGAGAACAACTATCCATAGAGTTGTCATGAGCCAATATTGACTTCACAACATAATCTCATTCAGGGCAAAGAAACAGAACACAAAACTGATTATAAAGTATTAAAGAGTTCAGGTTGTTATATATTATTGTAAAGTTCTTAAAACCAAAATAAGTTATAATGATACCTATATCTGCACTAAGTTTAAGCAAATGAATATCTATTTGAAAAACCACCAGGAGCACAAAGTTATAATTAATCATTTCAATTTTAATTTCAGCAGTGCTAATGTACAAACTAGCCAGCTGTAAAAATGAAAGAGTTCATTTTCAAGATAAATTCAGCACAGGAAACATGCTGTCATTTTGGAACATTTTTTCCATTAAATCTAAGGAAGGTATCCATTCCATCTGATATTGATAAGGGGATGGATAGGGACAAATCAAAATTCAATATAAATGTGTAAGAAATATTTCTGAACAGTCCAAATATAGATCAAGGAAGGACAATTCATTTTTGTTCTAGAGAATTGCCCTGAAGACATGGATTGTACTTTGGGTGTGCTTCTGGATTCAGTCCCCTCAAACCCCATTATGTGGCTTCATTAAGATGGTGAGGAAGAATACCCTGGATGGAATGAGCTAAGAATAACAGGAGTGTAGGACAAGAGTATACTTTCAGCTGGGTCACCCAAGCTGCCCAGATAAAGCAAACAGGTACCTATATCGATAGTAGTAATGTAGGAAAATGCTAGAAGTGAATGATCACATTAGCAAGGACAGCAAAGGCATCAATTTATACAGCATGGGAGAAACATGTATTTTATCAAGTAAGTCACAGGGCTATGCGAACTAGCAACAAAATAGATGGACTCAATTGCATCACTAGAAGGCCAGATTATGCAGACACTAACTTAATGGCACATAATCAATCAATCAATCTGAATTCTGCCCTGCATTTAAATGCCCTAGTTCCTGCAGTTGTCAAGAATATATTTGCATCGGTAGAACTAGTATGTAAACTGTTTCTATTTCTTAGAATGTCAAATCTGATCACAATAATGTATGCTTTAGTTATACCGCACACGATGAAAAAAATGAACTCTACATGGGCTTACTTTTTAAAAGTGATCAAACTTCAGTTGCTCTAGAACTCTTGACTAGGACTGCAGTTGACTGTATAACTTTCTTGTTAGTAAAAACAGCACTTGTTGCCAGTTTATTTAAAGGGCAGAATTTAAAGTACTGATTATAAAATATAAATTCTACAGAAATGGGAACGATCTATGTGAAAACCTGTCTCAGCCTGGCAAGGGATTAGATATTCAGAGGAAGTTTTTGTATGAAGTACAAACATAAACTAGTACCTTCTCAGGGGCTCCCCCTAAAGACCGGATTGCCTTGCAGGAGAGATCAGGGTAGCTTTCTTTTTATTACTTAATATATTTGAATGTTGCTACTCAAGAAAACTCTTGAAATAGTACACAATAACATACAAATACTAGAATTACTGTAAGTTAAAAACAATGAACATAGAATCAGGCTTTTTGATATGTAAACAGGTTTGCTTATTAAAGCTGCAAAAAGGTTGAGATTTATACAGTTTTAATGCCTTTGGATGTTCTTAATTGCATTTTAATTACATTGTTCTTAATTGCTTTGGGTATCATCTGTTATCAGAAAAACAGGCCATAATGTTAGAAATAAAATATATAATTAAATACAAGATATAAATATAAAAATAAAGGATATTATTAAAAAATAATCCCTCTTGATATTTATTATTCAATATGAATACAACGTTAAGAATATTCTGCCTTATCTTAAAATAAAACTAAAGAAACTTTATTTTAGAGAATTTTATGAAAATAATGCACATGGAGAAGAACAAAATCAGAACGTACAAACAGGAAAACTGCAAAATCCCTATTTTGGTCTTCATGTTACATTTTTAAAAGGAACACTTACATATAATCCACCTACCCTATAATTTATTTTGACAAATTCAATATAAATAAAAGCTAAATTTGTCCCTCTTAAAATACTTTTGCCATTAATTACATATATTTGAATTAAATTCTATATGACTTCATCAGTAAGTATTTCCAGAATAATACATATAAATACTAACATATAAAAGGGGAAAAATGCTGCTAATCAAGACCTTGAGATAACACTTGGACTGTCTTAGAAACAAGATTCAATAAGATGACATTTTTGATGGTAATAAACCACTGCACACTGCCCCTTACACTCCTTGGCTCCTTGGCTTACACTCAGAATAACAGCCATAATAAACTGGGAGATATAGGGATGTGCGTAAAATTCCACACCATGACAGCTGAGGGGAATGGTGAGAGGGAAGAGATCGGGAAACAAGGAAGTATTCGACTCTTGGTTGATGCCAAGACTACTGAGGAACAGGGCATAGACCATGCAGAGAAAGCAATAGTGGCACCACAAATTCTCATTTTTGAATATATCCAGTCCCTGTTTAAACTTCCAAGTTAGTGATCATAACATGAAATACATAGTTAGGTTAAGTATGTGCTATCTCTTTTATCTAAATCTTCCAATAAGCTTCACTGGAAGAATTCAAATCCTATTGTTCTGGGAGGATGAAAACTTATCAAAGTTCTTCACAATATTTATAATGTTTATATGCTTTAATCATGTTCACCTTCAGTCTCCCTTTCCCAAAGCTAAAAACACAAATTACACAGGACATTGAAAAGCAATAAAAAAAAAACATTTTTTCAAAAGACTAGATGACCATGTAAGACTAGATGACCATGTTGTTTGAATATGACATATGTAACTGAATCTATTCAGCAATATTAAGTACACTTGGTTTTCATTCGAGATTCTGAAACAAAGCAAATGCTCTTCAGTCAACCCTCTGAGATACGGGGCGTCAGGAAACAAGAGTCCCTGAGGGTCCTGGAATGTACTTTAACCTCTCTCTAGTTTAACATGCCTAATACAATTAAGGTGTTCCCTACATTCTTCTGACATTACTTTACACTACCTCCCCATCACAATCATTCCTTCCTCCTGCAAGCGAAGATGGTCCCAGCAGCTTATCAAGATCAAGAAAAAAGTATGAAACAGGTATAGTCAAACCTGGAATGTGCCCCCCCCCAAAAAAAACCCATTGTCTGGCAGTAGCAAGCTGAGGACCTAAAGCACAGCAGAAAGATAAAATGAAGGCATTGCTGGGAGACTTGAGACGTCTACTTTGACCCTACTACAAAAGGTTAGGCATTGCATCATGGCCTATGATGTAAGCAGATCACATTTGGGGTTATACCAGTGGAATTTGCTGAAGGATACAATTACCATTTCTAGCTGTTGATTCTGATACTGCTGTGGTTTCTAAGTATGGATTACTAAAAATGAAAATACAGCAATGTATCTGTCAATGCCAAACCTATAATGGAAGGTGCAAGAAAAACCTTGGACTTCTTGTTTGTTTATGGACCAGTCTACTATGGAATTTTCTGAAATAACCTTGACAATCTGGTCATGTAACAATATTTAAAATCAGTCACCAGCAGAGGGATTTGATGCAGGCAAACCAAGAGGGTGAATTGTCTCCTATTCATCTGGAGGACCAGTACCTACCGATAGCAGATGGGAAAACAATTAACTGAATGTATATCTATTATGCCTGTTTTCTTCTAGCAACCTAGACTGAAAAATTTCCAAAGAATAAGTATCTCAGAGTTTTGATTAATAAAATTTTTTTGAAATGGTTAAGTTTACAAATCAAGAATTCTTAGCAAATATTCTACTCTTAAAAGAGAATAATATATATGAGCAAGTTAAAGTGGCAAGATTCTGCATACATTTCTTGTATTTTTGTGATGTAAAGGGGAATAGATCGGTTTTCTATGAAAACAGCACTTTTTGATTTTGGGGGGGAGGGAGGGAGATACTAAAACTAGCTCATAAACTTGCCTAGTAATTGGAGAGTAATTACTTTAACTGTTGTTATGCAGGAGATCTTGAATACAAGTACCTGAAGAATACAGAGTTGCAATAATGGGAGGAAAATGGCTCCTCTGGAGCCATCTACATGTGCCACTATGATTTGGATAATCTGCAAAGAAAGAATGGAAGTTTTATAACTGAGCCATAAACTGATGGATGGTAAATGTTGGATTACATTAGAAATATTTTAGGGCAGAACTGTTGACTACATACAGTAACCATTTAGCTCCATGTTTGAGAAGCAGCAGGCTTAATGTTTAAGCTATGGGAAATATGGGAGAAAGAAAAAGCATAACTTAATTTAGGCTTTTCTAACTAAGGTTTGTGGAGCCCTAGGGTTCCATGGGATCTTGATGGACAAAAACAAACAAAGTTCACTCACATGCAGCCAATTTTCTATCACTACAGCTTTGCCTCAATTGTTCCAGGGTTTTTTTTAAACAGGTTCAGTGGTCTGTTTGAAAACCCAGTTTCAGTGATGGGAGTACAAGTAGTCCATTGAGTTGGAAGTTGGGACAAATGTTAAATAAACTGCCTCAAGTAACAACTAGCTATTGTTGCATTCATTAAACAAAT